ATGGGGGTGGTGGTGGTGTTTCTTAAGTTAGGACTAAAGTAGAAAGTAAAAAACTTTGGTTTTATATTAGTCTGTAATATATTGAGATACAGTACAATTGTTTCAGTTGGTGTGAAGCTTTAAAAACAGTTTCTGGAAATATTGTAAAAATGCCTCAAAATATTTCTATACTTTTATTATGCAGCACACTTTATACTATAGAACTGTACTAGTTTGTATTATAAGGTAGTAAGAGATAACATAAGGTAATAATCAGCTGTGGTGATTTGGGTGTTTTCTTTCTGAATCAACAGACCACTTCTAAAATTGCTGCTCTGTGTAAATTTACTAATTAGCAGTAGAATCAAATTAGAAAAGTATCAGTTTCTCAGATTTTTTTTCTCCCCCCCCCAACATTAAAGTAGACTAAATAATTTTATGGATAGCATGTTACTCTGTTCATTTCTGAAAAAGCCCTAAGAAGCAGCAGAGGTAGCTTTTATGTTCTGGAGGACAAGAACTCAAATAATGGCATCAGAATGAAGAGTGGATCTTGAACTGGCAAGAAATAAAAATGTATTGAGATGCTAAATAGGAGATAAGTTTTATCCAAGACCTGTCTAGACCAAGAGTGAAAAGAAAAATTGAGCTCTTAGGTGTCTACAAATCCCACCTGCTTTACAAGTCCCTGGAAGCGTAGTGGGGAAATATCTATATAATAAAAATAATGTAAAGCAGTTGTCATAAGAAGGATTGATCAAGTGTGCAGGAAGACAAATCTGGTATCTACCATAATATTTTTGAACTTATCTGATTATGATTTGATTGCTGTATGTCACAGCTGCCATGTGAATGAATTCGTTCATGTTCGTCTCTTCTAAGGAAGTGTTTTCTAAAACTTAAAGAATGTCAAATGCTAGACAACACAGATAAAACTGAGGGGTCAGCATAAAGGGCAGCTGCTAGGAACAGCAGATGTGAGCAAAGTAAATAGCATCTCTTGTTTCTTGTAGTGACATGAATTATATGATGACAGTCCAGCAGAGACCCCCAGAAACCCCTGTTTATTCTCCTTCTAAACAGTTACCTGTATGGTTCTTATTACTGTCACCAAAAAATGTTTCCCTTGTTAGATTTCCTGTCATACTGAGGGTGAGGGGGAAATTGATGTTTAGTTTTCATTTCCATGGTTACATTAGTATTAAACAGTTGGGGAAAAAAAATCACTTACATGGTTACATTGGCATGAAACAGTAGGGGGCGGGGAAATAAAGTCTCTGGCTTTTTTTCCCCCAGTGTGGTGGAAGCCATCCTTACTCATAATTTAGTATAGTTTCAAAAAGATTTGGATACTACTCAGAGCAGCCTTCTGAAAAAACTGCTTTCATTGTTTGGTTTTTGTGGGTTTTTTTTTGGTGGGTTTTTTTGGTTGTTTTTTTTTTTGTGCTTGGGGAAAAAGTGCTTTCCTTTAAAAAAAATTCCTTTAAGCAGAAACTGAAAAATGATTTACTGACAGCTTGGTAACCACAGATCAGTAAGTCATCAGTTAAAGTTTTCCGAATTTTCTTTTCTCTTGGAGAACAAGAAAATATAGTACTGTCTGCATTATGATGTTAGAGGTCAATTTCTTCAGAGTGAGTGTGAAATTAATACACTGGTGTTTTACTTCACAGGTGGTTTATTTATACTGCTTTCACAGTTACCAAATCTTTGATGTGTTTTGTTCTCCCAAATAATCACACTTGAATATGTGGAAATATCACAATTAGAAGGGTAGGTTTTCCTACATGTTTTCTAAAGTTAAATAAAATGCAGGGATATAAAAGAGGGAGATATTATTGGTTTTGTAACGCTGGGTGTAATGAAAAGACCTTAGCAGAAGAGGAGCAAAAGATCTCAAGTTCATTCTCATCTATTATACCTTAATCACTTCTGACAGTTGTTTGCCTAACCTGTTTTTAAAACCTTCCAGTAATGGATATTCCACAACCTCCATAGCCAGCCTGTTCAGTCCTTTACTCTTACTTGAAAGTTTTCCAAGTGTCTAACTTAAATCTTCCTTGCTTTTTCCTGTCTGCAGTAGACCTGGTGAACAGTTTAGTCCCATTCTCATATGAACTTCCTTTGCATTTGAAGAACAAGACCAAGTCTCCCATCTATCTTCTCGTCTATAGACTAAACAACTACACTTCTTTCAAGCTTTTTGATCTTTGAAGTGTCTTTAGAAAGTTGAGAGACAGGAAAGGAGAATCTGAACAAAAGCAAATCTCTGTGGCAATTGTGGGGGGTCTTGAGTATGCATGAGTGCAATGTGGATATTGCTTGGGAAGTCTCTTGAGCAGCTGAGACAGTTTGCCTATAATAAAATGTGGCTAGTCAGGCCTTTCCTGACTTGACTCTCCTTTATCTCCTCCTGTCTCCCTCGCACTTCTTTTCTAGAGAAATTACAAGTTTGAGCTGATTTTTTTTTTTTTCTCCTTTAAACTGGAGGGGAGAGGCATGGCAAGAGAATAGATTCCCAGGTGAGAAGTTGTTCTTTGTAATGTTTGTGGTGTTGTGTTACTTGATTAATTCATTAGTTGCCTTTACACTTTTTGAGCCATAAAGTCTTCTAATGGTGAAGTCCATAACAGGTCTGAAACATTTTGCAAGCAGGTATTTCCCTCCTGAAAATGTAGCCCGTGTGGTTTCAGTCAATTGAATACATCTGATAGACAAAACAAGGGAAAGCACTTTTTGAGCATAATAAAAATGCGCTAGTTTGCTTGCGTAGCATGACAGCTCCAAATATTTTGAGATTGTCACCATATTAATTTGAGTATTCCTAAACTATCCAAGCATACATGTTTTTATTTAAATAAGAAAAGTTCCTTGCCTGAACGTGCTCTGTGCTTCTGACAAATGCATATAAATTCAGTATGGTTAGAAATTTGTAATCAGTAATAACTGTGGTTTTAGGTACGGCAATCGCTGTCATTCCTGATGACAAAATTCGGTGTGCCAGATCCCTGTTCAGTGTTCTAGGGGACAGTTGCTTATGATGCAAGTCATGGCCTGCTCCTGGGTGATACTCTGTAGTACCAGGTGATTGGCCAACACAAAAAGAAATCAGTTTATAGGATTTTTTCTAAATGCCATTTTTTACTCCCCCCCCCCTAAAGAAGCCATCTTAAAAATGGCATGCCTTTCAGGACTGGCAGATGGTGGCTGTTTCAGATCTGAGTGTCCTCTTACTTTCTTATTGCTAGCTTGTAAAATAGTTTGCAATTTCAATTTTTGATTGTATTTTCAATTTTGATCGTATTTTAAATAACTGGCTGGTTCAAAATGAATTGCTCCTCTTCTTTTTCCATCACTCGTTTGTTCCTTTGTATGCTATTTATTTTGCTATGGTAATTAATCTACTCCAATAATTGTAATGCTGCTGCTTACAGGCTAACATTGAGCTGCATTAGCAGTAGTGTGTGACCACCAAATAATTTGTTTCTGGATTGTCATGTGTGTTGTTCCTCTTGAATGTCCTTGGCTCTGTTCCTCTTCTGTTATTCAACAAATCTTGTCTCCTACCATGGGATCAAGGCAGGAATGGGGGGGATAAAAGTAACTAGGAAAATAAGTGAGCATCTGAATAATATTTTCTTTGAAGTCTTGGAGCAGAGCACCTTCCAGTTGTTCACTTGCACATTTGTGGTTTGTTTTGCTTCATTCTCTTTTGTCAGAATATTGTCAGTTGGTCAGTGGCCTTCTGGTGAGGGTAGGTCACCCATTCTGTCCATAGAAACTGAGGAGGGGATGTTTCTCCAAAAAACGTTTATTGTCCATACGGAGTGTGAACATTATTAATAAAGGTATGAATTACTTTTAAAGGAATAAGTGAGGGAATCATCTCTGCCTAGCGAGATGAAAGATACGGTTTCTCTTAAGTTACATTTACAACCTAGAGTCATGATAGTCTGAAATTGATCTATTTTGATGATTAAATGCATCAATGGGGGTCTGTAACAGCAGCTGTAATCAATTGCTGACACTTGCTGTTTCTAAAGAAAATGACTTTGATACCTTACTGAAATGGGAATTGGATAAATTTGTCTTTGCTGTGTACAATTTTCAGAGAGAAATTCCAGAAAAGAGATACCTTCTGCTGACCTAGCTTTTACAATTTGTGTTACACTCCACAACTTCGTATACAATTCTTAAGTTCTTAGGCCACTTTATATAAATTAACAGCCTAGAAACTGTTTATTGACTTCAAAAACTGTAGAGAGGGAAGCTGACACTAACATTCATATTAGAAAGCAATACATACTGTATTTAACTATCATCCGTTAAACACAATTCATGTAGAAGAACCCGTTCTTCTTTCCTCAGAATGCTGGAAAAAACCTGACAGAGATTCCATGCTGGATTAGAGGAAAATTGGATTCCTCTCATAACTGCTTCCCTGGTGTGTTGTCTCGTATCTTAATTATCTGAAAGCAGACAGATCCTGAGATGCTTTTTACATTTGAAAGCAGCTGGCAATGCATAAAACATCATCAAAAATTGCCTCGAGTTAGCAAATCTCTTCTTGAGATCATTTGGTACAATCTTTTGGCATAAACCTACCCATTATAGAAGACTTTTATTTCCATTTCCTTCTCATCAGGAGCTTTCCCAACATAGCTTCAACTGAGTATGAATTAATAGTTTAAAGATTAGTCTCTGACTTCAGGACCCTCTCTCGGAAACGATCCATGGCTATTGGATCTGATTTCTATCCCAGAGTGTTTCTCAATTACAATTTAATATACAGCTTTGTAGTGGTATCTTGTTTCAGACTCTGAAGATAAGTGAGCAGATCGTTTCAGCAGCTCAGTTGGCCGGGGCAGCTAGGGACTGCTATTCCCACAAGAGCGCACGGACTTGCACGTGGCATGCAGGAGGCACTACGTTTGGCTTGGTAGCAGCTGCTTTCGAGTGAAGGCTGTAAGTTCACATTCGTCCTTGTAAGGCTTGTCCTTGTAATGCTTGTCCTACTGTAAGGTTTCAAACCTTCTGTGTGAAGTGCTCTGGTAATTGGCAACAGTCACACACTAAGGAAGCCACCGTTGCCAACTAGGATATGACACTGAATTGTACATCAGGGAAATTAATCTTTTCTGAGGGGTTGAATTGCCCTGCTACATCACAGTGGGTAAGTAATTTCACATCCATATGACCATCTATAAAATAATGCTAATGATAAGAACTAGGCACAGATTTTTTTTTCTTTACATATAGCTTATAATTAAATTTTACTGAGAACTTACCTGCAAATTTGCACTTTTTTGAAGACGCTAAACCAAGATATTCTAATTGAAAATAATTGTTTTAAAATGGTTGGATTTTTAATAGAATAATTTAGAACACAGCAAAATTATAATTTAGCTCAATTTGTCTTAAAGTATGGAAACAAAAGAAGCTTTGAATCCATAGATGGAATGCAGCTATTCCCTGAAAGCTGCTTGGAGGATTTTTCTGTCAGATGCCGTCAGTCTTAATAGCTGACATCAGCCCTTTCAATGTCCAAGATGAGTGCACAAGGGGTTGGTTGGTTTGTTTTTTTTTCCTCTGCACAGATCTAGTATTAAAAGAGGGGAAAATAATTTTCATCCTAGAAGTTTTAAAAGCTGTGAACCTCAAATGCTTCTTACTACATACAACTACAAAGAAGGTTCTGAAAGGCAATTACAGGACTGCTTACTTTTTTGGTACCATTGAAAGATACAATATTGCTGTGCTTTCTCTCAAGCAGTGCTGAAGTATTTATAGAAGATGTGATCCGGAAGTTTGCCTAGACTAACATACTATGAACTCAATAACCATGTTGGTATTTTTGACTGTGCCCAAAGGACTACTGAGTATACTTACTTTGAAATTGGGCTGTCAAGTGCTCATAAAAACAGATATTTAGTAACTGTGATGTTCCTAACTTAGTTCTTTTCAGTACCAGTGTGTGAATATTTTTGTGAGAAGTTATTCATGAATGTATGCAATACTAAATTAGCAGAGAGAAGAAGGTGGGGGTGCTGTCCTGTAACAGCTAGAGTTTTGCAAGGGATGCTAAACCGTAATCCAAAAAACTCTTGATGTTCCCCTCTAATTTAGAATATAGAAAATAACTCAGGCCAAAAATAACCCTTTCAAGATCTTCCTCTTTGGTTTGGGAAGGTCATTTCTGTGTGTCAGCTAGAATAACTACAACAGTCAAAAGTGTCTTTTGTTTGCAGGGGGTTTACATTTGATTTATCAGTCTTGGCAAACTGATTTGGCTTTCAAAATGTGAAATAAACGTATAAAATCTGAGCGGTGGTTCTCTGTTAATAAGAATTAAATGATTCTCATTTTAAAAAGAAAAATGTTAAATATAAGCAGCATTTGCTGTACAGGAAAAAGTGGTGGGGGTTTTTTGTATACAAAGGACACCTTTCTGTGAAAATTTCTTGTTTCAAATCAGTAGAAGATCTGAAATAGCTACATAATAATATAACCCTTTGGTGGATGTTCATGTCTGCGCAGAAGGAAAGCTGGCATTTTGATTTCAAGTAGCCTTTGAATTGTTACTTTGTGCACTTTTTTTAGAAGTGATTGACAGGTAGTTGCTGTACAGTCTTTGCTTCAGAAGTTGGTTGGTTTGTTTTCATTCTGAGAATAGGGAAGTCTTCATCTGCAGAAATGTAAATCTACTGAAAACTTTTTTCTTCAGAGTTCCTTTCTTTTATCTCCAAAAGGGAAAAAATATTCTGTGTATTTCTACCACACAAGTTAAAATCATTGATCCACAAGGTGGTTAGTTGCAATACTTAATAGCTATATCTGGAGATTTTTCTAAGTAGATGAGGTGCTTGCTAGGAATTTTAAGTCTCTTCACTCTGTACTTGATGAAAGGAAAGACCTGTGTTTTGAGGCTGATGCCGGGAATGTGCCAGCAGTGGTAGATACTGCTGGCATGTGGTTTTGAAGTGACATGTAACTGCTTCTGGCTGCTGAGGATTAGTTGTTGTCAGCCCACTTTAGATTTAAAAGTTAATTTAGACTTTTCACTCCAAAGCTGAATAAATAATTTTCTCTGCGCAGGTTAAGTTAGTATCCTTATAGAAGATTTTCATCAAAATATCGTCCTCCTGTATTATGTGAGTAAATTCAACACTGGAAAGTACAATTATTTGTGTGATGAATGAAACTGGGTCATTGAATGTGTGTGGGAGGGTTTTGCCTACGTAAATAGCATACTGCAACTGCAGGCTTAAAGTTTGGTGAGGACTGCTTTTCTCCTCAAAGCTTTGTTTGACAGCTTTGTTGCTCCCCATTAAGAGATGTGTGCCATTATTCTTGTATTGATTACACACAGACACACACGCACGCAAACATGCACATTTTCAGGTTTCATTTTCTTCAGCTTTCATTTGGCCCACATAAAAGAATACTTAAGGTTTCTGCCTCAGTAAATACCAGCAATTGTTAATGGGGTTGTAGTTAGAGAACACCAATTCTTTTGCTGTACATCTGCATGATGTCTGCTGAATGCTTTCATGAATAATTAATAATTGTTATTTTTAAGCTTAGCACTTGCTTTAACTGAATGGTTAAATCCTGTTTTCCTTTAGCTGTGCTACAAGATACTACTTTTACATGTAGAAAAGACAATATTAATGTAAAAGTAATAAATTTCAAGATTCTTTTTTACCACAGTTGAACAATGTAAGATAACTAGTAGGCAGGTTTCAGACATTAATGAGTATTGTGAATTAAAATTGAAAAAGGGGATCAGTGTTCCTGTGAACTACCTAACCAATACCATTATTTTGCAGACTATTGCTGACATAAAATACATTGCTTAATGGTACTCTTATTTCCAAACTCTTCAAGTTTCTGAGGAGAAGGTATCTTTAAAATGTCTTTTTAGCAGCTAGGGTTTTTGACAAGGGTTATTATCCTTATCGCTCTGACAGACCCAAAAGAAAAAGATTAGATTTTGAGAGATACTTTTAAAATGTATTTTTGTTCTCAAGTGAGACCTGTCTTAGGGAGAGGGAGTAAACTTTTCTTTCTTCTTTAGCTTTTTATAACTGCTGTGCCTGTTCTTAATTAAGGAGGTAGTGTGAATGCTCACTTTTTTTAGGATAAAGTTACAAAAATCAATAAAATACCTAAGAAACAGTATTCTACTTGGTATCAACAGGTAGATTTCAGTGCAGTTCTGATTATTCTTCTGCTATCTGATTTATGGATAGTTTATAGTTATAACAGTAACCTAAAGCTTTCACTCCCCAGTAAAACCCTAGAGGGTGAACTGCAGTACAGATTCTTTGAGTTCCTGTGGCATATGCTGACCTTGCAGACTTGTCCAGATGCAGCTGAGTCCACTTATATTTCTGAATTTATAGGCATATGTGTGTCTGTAACTGTAAAGTCCATCACCTGTCAAGGCAGTTTTATGAGGATACTTTGAGGCATGAGTAGCAG